CGGCGGCTCCGGGGCGCCGACAAAGCAGCCGCGCGGGGCAAAGCAGCGGCGCTGGCCGGCGCTGGCCGGCACAGCCGCGCTGGCCGAAACAGCCGCGCTGGTGACCGTGGAGCACCTCTGCCCGGGAATTTCCTAGTCTGTGGGCAATAAAAACACGGCGTCCACTCACCCTCTGCGCTTTCACTGGGAGCTGCAATCCTGAGCTGTTCCTAAACGGCCATCTTGGATCCACCCTCTCGGTTATTTTGGCTTAGTCAGATTGTTAACCAATTTGATTAGACAACTATTAATGTGAGTCTAAATTAGATTATTTGAAAATGTTTCTTTTAAACATGTATTTGTATATATCAGTTACACTCCCTGACCCCCCTCTGATAGGCAAAGGATGTATGGATCACTGTATGAACAGCTATAAAATAAAGCAAGAGGATAGGGCTCAAAACACTGAATTCCAACCTCCTCCAGGCCGTCATGGGAGCAGGAAATGGCTTACAAATCAAATAGATGTGATGTTAAATCTCGACTCTGCTAAGAATTCTCTGTAGGAGCATTGGCAAGTTATTAAGCAATCTGAGCATCAGTTTTATCCATAAAGTAGAGATCATAATAATTGACTTCACAGAATGTTTCATATTAAATGAGATACTATTGGTGAATTTTATAGCACACATTTTGAGGGACTCTGAAAATTGTAGCTGTTATAATTGGTGATAATAATCTATCCTTTCTAGCCATAGTTCAATCCATCTGGGGAAAATTTTTTCCATTCAGTCTCACATAGCTGGGATCTAGGATAATGTCTTAGTGTGTTTTTGCTGTTATAATAAAATGCCTGATAAGGGTAATTTAGAAAGAACAGAAATTTGTTATGTCTGGTTCTGGATTCTGGACAGTCCAAGATCAAGGCACCAGCATTGGTGTCTAGTGAGGGCTGCTCTCAGCTCCCACAAGCAGCCTTCAGTAGACACCAACGGCACCTTGTTGCTGTGTGCTCACAAGGTGGAAGGCAGAAGGGCAAGAGAGCACATCTTCAACCTTGAGCCCTTTCACAAATCCCTTACTACCATGCATTAGGGTGGAGTACTCATGACTTAATCACCTCCCAAAGCCCACACTTCTTAATACTGTTGCATTGAGGATTAAGTTTCATCATGAATACTGGTAGAGACCCCATCATTCAAACCATAGGAGGTAGGGATAAGTCATCCCACTGAGATGGGATACCGGCCAAGAAAATTTCCAGAACACATTCTGGGTACCTCCAAGTACCGTTGAGGAATGATACACAGTCATTTTATATTTTACTTGCTTTATAGAGGAACACTCCTCAGTGCTACACACACACACACACACACACACACACACACACACTCACTCTCTCTCTCTCTCTCTCTCTCTCTCTCCCTCTCTCTCTCTTGCTAAGCCTTTGGTATTATGCAATTCCCGAGGGTATAGGAGACTTTAGTCCCAACACCACCTGTAAATTACTATGTGCTATCAGTCAGGACTTCTAGCCTCATTTCCAGATTTCTTCATTGACTGAGTGAAGCTAATGAATGCCTTCTCTCCTCACTGAATTTCTGTGAACAGGAAATAAGATACCAGGTGTGAAAACTCTTTGAAAAGTATAAACTGCCTCTCAAATGCAAGAAATTATTTATGATGAAGAGTTTGCAAAACTCTTCATATGTCTATTTGCTTTACTTAACAGTAAGTAATATGCATTACAGTTTGCCTGGACATTGCTACATTATTTAACTTAACATGATTTCTGTAACAAGAATGCATTTTAAAGCAAAACAAATTCTAGCAAGAATGACAGTCCATTAAATTATGCATTTACATTGACAAGTCAATGTTAGTTTATCTAACAAAACATTTCCCAAACTAGAAACAAAAGTTTTCCCCTATGACCTTCTATGGACATAATGCATGCAATTATGAAGGTAAGTTATTTAAGTTTAGCATAATTCTGGAATTCTCAGACTTGTTAAACTTATTTCACTGAATCAGATTATTGTAGTTGGATGAAAATACAAAAATGTTACATTTCTAAACCTCAGTGATTGCAGTGACTTTTTATAATGGTTTTTATTAAGCATAATAACAAATTCCAGAGCTGACTTTTTCAAAAACAAATTAGACATAGGAAACAATGTCTGAAACATAATCAGACAGATCTGTATTTGAATTTAGACTCTTTGGTTTAACTAGCTTTATGAACATCAGCAGGTAAGTCACTTTTTTGCTTATCTCAGTTTCTTCATCTGCAAAATTTGGATAATAATAGCACTTATCTGGTTGCTGTGAGAATTCAATGATATGACTCATGGAAAATTAATTCACATTATTCAGTTGCAATAAATGGCATCTGCTTCCACTGTTACCATCATCATCATCATTTTCATTTCCATAGAGTGAGGGAATGGGAGCATCATTCTCTCATGGGAAAACTGTCCTCATTGGAATAGACATAATTCCTTTTGGCACAAATGAAGGACTCAGGTGATGTGGTGTCAATTCCATGTGGAAATAAATTGACCAGCAGAGTGATTTGTCTGTTTGATAACCTGCTTGCTCACTCCACAGCACTATAGTTTCTTTGAATAATTTTTAATTTCTCAACTAGGCATAGAAGGCTCTATTTTACAAAGAGAACATATTCCTTGTAAGATAACAGGCTGTCAGATACTCCCACTCATACCCCTACTGAAGATTTGCATTTTAAAAATTATAATAATTTCCATTCCTTTGTTGATACAAGTTGTTATAGACAAAGTGTTATTTTTTCCTTGCAGAATATGTATCTTTCTATAAATAATCAGCTGATTTTACATTCATTCTATTAAAACAGAAAAAAGGTTTTCTTGCCTCTTTTTTTTTTTTTCTTTTCAAGACAGGGTCTTGCTCTGTTGTCCAGGCTGAAGTGCAATAAAGTGATCACAACTCACTGCAGCCTTGACCTCCCTGGCTCAAGTGCTCCTCTCACCTCAGCCCCCTCAAGTAGGTGAGACTACATACAGGCTCTTGCCACCATCCCTGGCTAATTAATTTTTTTTTTTTTTTTTTTTTTTTTTTTGTAGAGATGGAGCCTACCTATATTGTCCAGCCTGGTCTTCAACTCAACTTTTGGGCTTAACTTATCCTCTTGCCTTGGCCTCCCAAAGTGTTAGGATTACAAGCATGAGCCACTATGCCTGGCCTAAAATTAGTTTTAAAATCTTACATTTCTTTAATAGAATATAGTTTTGTGTAAAGGCATTTAGCTACTATCATGGATCTATGCCTTTTAGTTAATAAAGATGACATTGAAATAACAACAGCAATAACAACAGCTAATGACTTTGATTCCTATGGGCTAAGCACTGTTTCAAGAATTTTAATGGACTGTCTCATTTGATCTACATAACAATCCCATGAAAAAAATATTATCTCAATTTTACAGATGATGAAATGGGCAAGAGAAGGTTAAGAAATCTTCACAGTGTCATTTAGCTAGTGAATAATGGAGTCAGGACCTAGACAGTGGTGCCAAGAATATTTGTTTCGTGATTAAAATAGTCCCATTCTTTTTTACCAAGAGCAATTAGGGTTTAAGATGAATTTTTAAAATAACTATGTGTGCATTTATTTTTTATGTTCAAATATGAACCTCTGATTGGCCATGCATAAACACGTTTGTATGTAGCCAGAAATTTGGCAGATTTCTTTTAATTTATAATCCCCCTTTCTTTCTCCTCATGTGAGTATTTTGTTGCTGTGCAGGATTAGTCCCAAATACCTTCGACAACTTGGAGTCTCCCATTCTCCCATTTACAGGAAATGGCAGTCCACAAAAGGATACACAGCAACATGTAGTCTCTTTAGTGAAAACCTTCTTTTAATGTCCATAGTGTTGTATATAAGTACATTGTGTCCGTGTTTCCAGTCACAGCTCTGCTCCTTACCAGCTATGTTACTGCAGGCATGTTAGTTTTGGGATCCTTGTATGTAAAACTGATATAATAAAATAAGTGTCTCATAAAGGAGTCGTGATAATTATATAAGAATCTATTTAAAGCCTCTGGCAAATTAATTTCCAGCTCTTTTTTTTTTTCCCAAAAGGAAGAAAGTACACTAACACTTCTAGGAGCCTCTTCTCAACGTCGTAGTTATTCCAAAATAGCAAATAATAGGAATGCATAAAAGAAAGGATTATGTCAGCAAAACCTTTTTAAAAATCCTTATTTGATTAATGATGGTCAAAAAATAAAAAAGCAGATAAATAGAGTTTTCTCTCAAAATAGGTTGTGGCCTTGGCTGAGACTCAGTTATCCTAATAAGATTGTCTTCTTTTCTATTTATAGACACATCCCACCCAAACTGCATTCTTATCCAGCGTTGATCTTCACACTCACTGTTCCTATCAACTCATGTTGCCAGAGGCCATTGCCATTGTTTGCTCCCCAAAGCATAAAGAGTAAGTGTAACTCTTCAGAGGAGCCCAAAGAAGGCTTTGTCCAGGGCTGCTGGGTTCCTGTGTGTCCAGACACCAGGTTTTGGTACTTGGATTAGCAAGCACACATGCCCTTGGGAAAAAGAGATGGGTGGCAGCCAGCTGCATAGACCTACAGCTCTGCAGTTTAAGGTCCTTTCAGTGGCAAAATTTCTGGTTTTCTTTCTTCAGTTAGCGTGACCTTGAAGTGAATAACCTTTAAGAAGGATGCTATCCCAGTTAGCCTTTTAAGGTCTTATTTCTACTGTATCATGTTCTACCATAAGAAACGTTCTAGCCTTAGCTGAGAAAAAACCTTTCTACTTTTGGGAGACAATGATTATTGTAGAGTGGTTATGAGCATAGGAATCAAACAAACATATTGGAATCCTGGCTCCACCCCTCAAGTGATGTGTTAGGCCGGATACTTGACCACTGTGGGCCTCAGCCTCTTTGTCCCTGCTACCTGCCCATGAGGGATGGATGAGAAGATGAAATTCATTAATAGTCTATGTACAGTGCTTAGCATAGTGCCTGGTACCACAGCAGGCACTCAATAAATATTTGCTATTGCTATAATCTGTATTAACATTATTAGAAGAATTAGAAATATCTGCCACTTGTAATTTCCTTCCATGGGACTCTCCGTTGGGGCCTTGGTCTTTCCTCTAGGGTCACACACAATAGCTTAGCTGCCTCGTCCCCTTCACGGTCCTGCAGTCTCTTAGGAGCAGCATTGCCTCCTCCTGGGTTTCTCTCCTCTGGGCCAATCATCGGTTTAAAAAAAAAAAAATCACTATGGAATTCCTAGTTTGTGATTTCTCAATCCCATTTGAGAAATATATATGCATGTGCTATTCAAATAAAGCATCTGGAATGCCCAAATGATCCTTAATTTTTCTACTTTGTTTTCACTCTGAAATTTAGCACTGGCATCTTCAGGCTCACCAATGCTGGCATGCTTGAGGTTTCTGCTTGTAAAAAAAAAGGCTTTCATCCACACACCAAGGAGCCCCGGCTGTTCAGTGTGAGTACATCATATTAGTTATTTTTGCAGATATTTATTGTTCACTGCCGCCCCAACCTTTTTTTTAAGGAGAGAAATAGTAGCAGTCTAATACAAGCTAAAACACTATACTGCTTAGTTTGGAATTTTATCTCAGTGATTAATCTATTTATATACTTAATTTCTCATTTATTCTCAAAATAATTGTTTTTACAAAAAAGATCAGTATTTCTGTAACAGAATTAATGATGCACAAAGTTACCTTTCCACTTATGTATATGTATGATATTTAAACATTTTCTTCAGAGTCCAAATAAGTAAACAATTATTACAGAAGATGATATTTAAAATGCTGCATGAATTCTTTCTGGTCGATATGGCCAAATTAGTTTTTTCATAGCAATTGGATGAAAACTACAATCATACTTCTTGATTACCTTTGCATAGTCCAAAAGAAAAATATGTCTACACCTTTTTTTTTTTTCTTCCTAATTTTCTTGGTGATTCTGTGGAACATCAAGAGAACGTTATGTTGAAGTTAGAATTTACCTAAAATGAAATTGTTTGGCAACCCCTGTAAATATTTTTATTGTTGTTTAAAATGAATAAATGTGGCTGTATTTGTTCTGATTGGAAATATTTTAAAAATCAGGAACAATTTAAAATTAGGAAATCTGTACTCCCTCCCTAAAGAAAATCATATGGTAAACATTAATGGTAAACATTATGATAAAATTAAACCTATGGTAAAACCAATTTTTTCTTTCCTAGATATGCAAACATGTGTTGGTAAAAGACGTAAAAATAACTGTGTTGGATCTGAGGTGATATGCTCTGAATATAAGCACCATCAACATCAGATACCTACCCATGGACAAGTGGTTGCCGGATTTTCTTAAGATGTTTCCAGAAAAGACTCATATTTTATATTTATATATTTTAGATTAGAAAGCTTGATATTTATTATTGTTGCACATTTTGAAGTTTTTTTTTTTTTTTGGTTGCTCCGTGTCAAGAGAGGTTACATGGTGTTAAATCATTAATGTACCCAAATACTATGACCAGGTAATAAATTGTGCTGCGAACAATATGTCTGGTATTTATAGAGGTCTCTGTATACATTTTTAGAGCTTTAGATGTTTTGCTGTATTTTTTATTCATGTAAAGTGTAATTCCAAATAAGAAATTCCGAGTGTATGTAGTCTCTAAGGCAGGCCATCTGTTTCTGAAACCTTCCCCTGAGGTATGTGAGCAGTGAGTATAGATGAAATATGGCTGCCATTGATAAAGCTTGTTCTGTGTTTTCAGTGTCATGAAATCCCAGGCTCAGAGAGAGATCTCTGCAGTGAATCATTGTGTAAGATACCAGAACCATAGGCTTCTACTCAGGGATCAGGTGTCAGAGGGCCTGGGATAGCAGACAATTCATTAACTTAATTTAGAAGACTAAAAGTAGAGAAGCTTTAGAGAGGAATTTTTTTTTAAAGGCTCAGATAAAAGTACAAAGCCTTTTACTGTAAAAATGAACAGGGGTGATAAGAAGAACTGAGACATAAGAACTGATAATTCTTAGTCAAAAAGAATAAATAAGCAAATAATTTGGAAAGTTTTGCCATTAAAGGTGTCTATATAAAAATTAAAACACAGAGATGAGAATGAAATAAGTTTGAAACTGAATAGGGTGACATAAATATAATGTTTGACAAAGGCTTAGAATGACATTTGTGGCTATTACCTAGATAATAAAAGCATTTACCTGGATAAAAAGAGAGAGATTAAATAGAAAGAATGGGAGACTTGGGTACTCTGTTAGCAAGTTGAATTGGTAGAAAAAACCTGAGGATGAAAAGTATGGAGAAAGTTTAGCTGCAAATGCACAGAGGGCAGAATGGAAGTGATATTGTTGAGTTCTTTGAGAATAGGTAAATATCCTTCAGGACACTGAAGACTAGTACTGCAGGTGAAAGCTTCATCTTGGGAAATCCTGGGCAGGCAGCCCTTTCCTTGATCAAGAAACTTGTGTTCACTTCTTAGTCTCCTTTCTCATCCTTTAGGGCCTTGCCTTACTCTAGTCTGGCTTTCTCCTTTTTTGGTTTCAACATTTACATTTCCTTCCCAGCCATCTCTCCCTGGATCTCCAGGACTTTTCAACAGGGCCAAGCTAATTCTATGTAACCTTCTGTCTTCCCAGTGTCTTCTGTGCTGGCCACAGCTCTCCTCCCCTTTGCTTTCCTTCTGACATTGTATCTGAGTTGCCTAAACAACTCATGTTTGCATGTACTAGCTCCCACTGCTTAGTTCAATGATTTCCATATTCCAAAGAGTGGCATTTTCTGTACTCTGTGCTTGGATGGGTTAACATCTGACATGGTATGGTTGTGTCCCCACCCAAATCTCATCTTAAATTGTAGTAGGAGAGACATGGTGGGAGGTAATTGAAGCATTGGGTGGTTACCTTCATGCTGTTCTCATGATAGCGAGTGAGTTCTCAGATATCTAATGGTTTTATAAGGGGCTTTTCCCCTTTTGCTCAGCACTTCTTCCTGCCATTATGTGAAGGACATATGTTTGCTTCCATTTCTGCCATGATTGTAAGTTTCCTGAAGCCTCCCCAGCAATGCAGGACTGTGAGTCAATTAAGTCTCTTTCCTTTAGAAATTACCCCGTCTTGTGCTGGGTGTGGTGGCTTACGCCTGTAATCCTAGCATTTTGGGAGGCCGAGGCGGGTGGATCACAAGGTCAAGAGATCGAGGCCATCCTGGCCAACATGGTGAAACCCC